GGGGAGCGGTGAGAGGGGGAGGAGAGTGGGGGGGGGGGGGGGGGGGGGGGGAGAGAGAGAGAGAGAGAGAGAGAGAGAGAGAAGGTTAGGGACGAAAGAGATGAGCAGAAGCAAATCTAAAGCGTTGACACCATGATTGAAAAGGTTAACCCATGCACATTATATATCAACCCGAGTAGCTACGGGTTTCTAATGGAAACACGGCACTGACAGAGCATTCACTGAGTCCTAATGGCAAAAGCACTATGTCTCCGCTTCGATGTACAATCAAATCCTCTTAGGTCCTGATTGCTTATGTTCCAGGTTATTATTAGGTTGCAAAAAATGTGCAGCAAAAGTAATATGCAGTTTCAGTGTTAGATGCTTGTGGAGAGCAGACGACTAGAGGATTCATGTTCCTCTTGATACTGTGATGATTTTCTGTTTCTCTCCTCTCCTCCTTTTTTTCTACTGTGTGTGTGTTTTCCCTTCAAGTTAGAAATGCAGCTGGGGAATAGTGAACTTCGCACTGAATATAGTTTTCATTTAGTCACATTGTCAGCAGATTAAAGTGTGGAAACCGCAGTTCATTAAACTAAAGGGCTAAACGTATGCAGACGAGCACACCGGTTCCAAAGTAACACTTGGCTCCTCTTCTTCCTTTGTTGCAGATTATTTGGAAACAGTGGAGCTTGCAGTGCTTGCGGTCAGTCCATTCCAGCCAGCGAACTGGTGATGAGGGCACAGGGCAACGTGTACCATCTCAAGGTAAACCTGAGCGTCCTCTGTGAGGCTTTGAGCCGCGTCAAATAAAAGCGCACACAGTCTGTAAACCCAAAGCCTTGTGATTATCGGTAGCTCTCTTTCTTTTCCTGCCTACTGTGTGTGTATTTCGTCATTTGCATGACAAGCTGCTGCATCTAGTGGCACTTAGAGGAATAACTAACACTGTATTGATTTGAATTTCTAGTAATTTTGTAGCTTCTTTGGATTAAGATGTGTTAACATTGAAAAGCTTTGTTCTGTAGGGAGCTTGAGATTTCCAAAATGCTTCTAAGAAGGATGATAAATTTAATATCTATATACAGCAGGACTATGTTTTTTAATGTTTTAATCATTTTTACATACTGACTCTGAGAGTTCAAAATCATGACCATATCATTAAAGCAAAACAAATTCTAATTCCCAGCTGAACTGCAAGTAGAGCTGGAATGATGAAGTTATTAATAGAAATGTAATCAGCAATTGTTTTGGTATTTGATTATCAAAAGTCATTTTTTTAGCATTTTTGAAAGCAGACTGATAGATTAGCATGTTCCAGCTCCTATACTGTAAGAAATGCTCTTTTTCTGTTAAAGGAACCGTTGATTGGACAAAACAAGACATTTGTTGACATCGCCAAACCATTGTTCACGTAATCGTGTTGTAAACTGCTGTTAATTAGTTGTAACTGTGTATTTCAACTTTAACCTCCAGCACCTACACACACATGGTTGTGTATTGTGTGTTCACAAGCATGTTATTACATAACATGACTGAGCGCTGCCTCGTGGTCCTTGGGCCTGGTCATGATCAGTTCCCTCTCTGTCCCCCCCTCCCGCACAGTGTTTCACATGTTCCACCTGCCGGAACCGGCTCGTCCCTGGGGACCGGTTCCACTACATCAACGGCAGCCTGTTCTGCGAACACGACAGACCCACAGCACTCATCAACGGCCATTTGAGTTCACTGCAGACGAACCCGTTACTGCCCGACCAGAAGGTAAGACCCCCGCCCTCCCGCACCCTCCTCCGCTCTGCACTAGTGCAACACGACGGGGGCTCTCTGATGGTACAGAGTGCTCCAGAGTTCTCTGTGCGCTCATTTCAAAGTGTTTAGTGGGGCAGAAGGCTGATAGCAAGTCAGACAAGTCAAGTAAAAGCTTGTCATCAGTCAGCTGGAGTCATTAGCAGGAAAAGAAAAACATCTGTAATTTTCACGCCAACATTTTTCACTCTGTTTATATTGATGTTGTCGATTCACTGCAAGGCATGCAGCAGATATTAAATCTTACAGAGCAGAGATGAATTTTATTTTTAGACAGCCAATGGATTTTTCCATCATTCTAGTTTGAGGACATGCACTCAGAAAGTCTGTATTAACCGTCAGCACAAAACATGTGAAAATGATTTTTTTTTTTGTACTGCTGTCTTCACACTGGGTTTGTTAGGAGTGCATGCATTTTTGACTCATCATGAATTTATTTGCTGTCCCGAGCCAGACGCGTAATCGTGTTGCCATTAATACCAAGTGTTTAAACCATCATTTGACTTATCAACAGGACTGGGATCGCCTGGGCTAAATTATTACTCCAAGGCCAAAAATATGTATCTAGGGCCTGAGGTTGAACACGGGCAGCAAACTACAGCAGCTAGTATATCATGGAAGCTGTCATCATGGCTTTCCCTGATTTGATCTTGATGCCTCCAGTGAAAGCAAAACAGAAGGCCTAATCATATATGAAGGATAACTTCATTCTTCAGGATAGCTCTATTCAGCCCACTGCAGATATAATCATTTTTGCTTCGCAACAAGGAGCTTTATTGATACCTTGTCTGCACACACAGCAGCCAGAGAGATATGGGAAGTGTTTGGAGTGTGTCAGAGACAGACTGGAGAAGGAATTATATTGTTGGGAGAATGCATTTCACCTTGAGTGGTTTTGTGAGTAGAAGAGAGGCAGAACTCCATTAAGCCTCCTCCCTCCCTCCCTCCCTCCACGTCACAGACCTTTTAAGGGCTTGTCACTTTTACAAATCAGCTCTTAGAGCTCTTAGAGCTCCTCACATTTAAATTGAAAGCTGTTGCATTATCTAGCTTAATTTTAAATGTCTGTTTAAGTCCTTCCTCCCACCCCCAGTGTCTCTTGTAGCATGGCTGGCGTAGTAAATATGAGGCCTCATTGTTTATTTATGCACCAACATCAATTGTAGTGAAAACTGCTGAATTATTGATGCTAAAATGCAATCTGAATATTGGCCCTGGTGCTTTAATTATAGCAGAGAGAGAATTATTAAATAAACAGAGACACATTGCTCAGTGGGAACAGTCTCGGGACGCTTTTGTTATCTGGGTGAGTGAAATAAATGCTGCTCAAACACTTCATCACGCAAACATTCTCATTTCTCTTGCTAAAACAGAATTTGGACGGCCTCTAACAACAGACTTCCAGTAGGATAACAGCTCTCAGAGTCAATGCATCTCATGTATCCTCATAAACTGTGTATAGAAGCACAGAGAGAACAAGAAGCAGTGGCAGAAGCACGGGGTTATCTGCTGACCGTTGCTTTGATTATTTGCGATTTGGCTGTGACATAATTGGTGCTGTCTGTGTTCAGGGCATAAGACATTTGATGCTCATTTATTAAGCTTTCTTCCCAGCTTCTTCCTAATCTCTTTGTTCAGAGCAGACAAATTACCTCTCTCATATGGAGCTGCTTTGACCCAGGGGAGTGAGACCCTCCCAGCGTCAGTCACTTTAATTAGCCCCCAAGTAGGAGTTTGCAATTACTAATAGAGTGAAGCCCTCCTAGTGATTTCAGGGATGAAGGGAAAAATAAATCGGCCCTTAGAATCAGGAAGGGGGGGAAAAGCCAACGGAAGATGAAAAAGTTGGATGCTGGTGGAACCCAGACAGATAATTGTCTTTACTCCCCTGCATTTTTCTGTTTCACAGGACTGAACACCTCCTGCAGTTACGTTGGAGCGTGGTTATAATTATACCAAAGAGAATCACTTCATGAATGCACTTTTAAGTTAATGCTAAGTAAATGGGACACCAGATGGTTTTCAAAGCCTGGCTGATCAATAAATTAGACACTGGAGCCGGCGGAAAGTTGATTTGTCAGGGTGCTACGTTGATGGCATTTTGTGAACTGATGCTCTTAATGATGGCCCAGATATTTTAAACATTTTATTTTTATCTCTCACTATTCAGGTGTGTTAGGCGGGAGCTGTGCAGGAAGCAGGATGTGTGCCTTCATTTTAGCCCTTATTCATTGTCATCCGAGACAGCGTGGATCAGCAGCACCCCAGCCTTTTAGCTGTGCTCCCAGGTCCTTTGCCCTAGAGGAACCCTCCACCCATCTAACCAGTAACCTGACTTTTATTTCTGCAACCCATACCCAACGCTCAGCCTTCAGCCTTGGCTTTTCCCCAAATATGGGCAGTTACTTGCACTTACAGCACCTCAGTCAGGACGCTGAGGACTCCATGACCTTGGAATAAAAAGACCGAAGACGATCAGAATCCAAGGGGACTCTTTAGGAAGACAAAATAAGACAACACACATGAGGATGTTGTGACTGAAGTGAGACTGAAGTGAGGGAAGAAGACAAAGACTAATGAGGTTAAAGAGATGCAGGCTTTTCAACTCTGCATATTTGTTTAAAGACATTTTGGGGAAAACCGCGACCTTTTCATTTTTCCTCTCTTCCTTTTCTATCCTCATTTCTCAACAACATGATGTTTCCACTTTATAGATTTTAAGTGTTGTCAATGGGGAATGTGTTTTGTTTTTTCCTTTTTTTGGTGGCATATATAAATATATATAAAAAGATGGGGTTTTAAAAAATCTGTGGCTTTTTGTGGAAAACAAATCATGAACACTCTCTTGGTGTATTTGTAAAACTACCATGTATGTACAGTATGCATGTAAATGTTGTTGTCCAGACGTGGCTACAGTGCGTTCGACCTCTCGGCACTCAGCTCCAGTCCCCCTTCCTCCCCTCGAAACCCCAACCCATAGCAAACTGAAGACATTTGCTTATAGTCAGTAATGTAGAGATCATCACCCACATATAAATGCTGAATGAAAGAGAAATTTATTTGTGATATTTTCTGAGACATTTGCTCCAGTATGGTGTATTTAATTAATAAAAATATTGAAGATTATAAGCCTCCTTAAATTCATTGGACAGCTTCAGAATCTGTACTCAGTTACAGTTTGCTAAATTTGGGTTCATTTTTTGTAATTACAGATCCAGTCCTCACACTTAAAACTGTATCTCTACAGCAGACTGATGTCACAGTGTTGTCTTGAGTCTACTGGTTTTACCAACAAAGCACTTCAGTGGCATCTTTACTGTAAGTCTGAATGGCTGACTTGCTACAAGATCCCATTAGATAAATGCCCAAGGATTTATCATTCATACATAGGCCTGATTTCAGTGCATGGCTTACCACTGAAACTCCTCCACTGAAGATCCTGCAGTGCTGTCATTCACTTTCCAGCCTAGCAATCATCATGGCGCATGATGACTGTCTAACTGAAAATGGATAAACATCTATCCTCTCTCTCTGTTCAAATGACCATTTGCTATTCATCACTAATACCTGACAGAAATAGAGGAAAATGTCCCTTTGAAGATTCAATTACTGTAGAGAGGGAGAGAGGTGTCTCTCTTTGGCAGGCACAAATTGAATGGGCTATTTACAGAACAAATTGGTGTTTGAAGTCCTTGCAAGACCTAATAGGTCTGAAGGAGGGACCTGGTAATGGCTGATGCTCTTATCATCAGAGTCAGGGCCCCTCATGAGCCCGCCACTGTCGTTGAAACGCTGCTGCTCTACGGGCTCAAACAGAAGAGGACATAAGCCTGAAGAGTAAACAGACATTTGTTTTAAATTGGATTTTTAATGCAACAGAAATCTTGCAAAGCTGGAGAAACTGATCCGTTTTGTATGCCAAGATTTCTGAAGCCATCTCCCTGAGAATAACCATGCACACTTTAATTCCTAAATGTTTGAACACAAGTCCTCCAGGTATCTTTATGATGTGTGAATATTAAAGCAACCTGTGTTTTGAAGTACTGTGAATCTTGAAATCCATATATGTTTGAGTAGGCTGGACAGAAGCCTACAGACGGTGTGTGTCTGACCAGTGTACACACCAGATGGGCATTTTCACTGAAGATATTTTGGCATGTCAAAGCAGGAAAAGCACAAGTGTAAATAATATATTGAATCATTTTTTATACTATTTAGCTGCATCAGTGGAGTGGAAGTGTGAAAGAACATTGAGTCAAATGTCTCCAATACATCATGATTTATTGCCAGAGTCCTCTTCTCCAAAGCTTCCAATGCACCTAGTGTCAGGCCTTACTGGAACACCTGAACAGAAAAAAGCCACTGTTAAGGCTTTAAGTAACACATGCTTTTGCTTGCTGCGAAAAAGCCACCGCAATCTCTTTATTATGGACCATTTCATACATGGTGCCAGATCAAGTTTGATTGCTTTCAAAATAAGATAATCAAAAAAATTAAACACATCTAAAAATTAAAATGAAATGACAAATAAATAGTAAATTATAAAAATGAAGTGGGGATTCAAGTTCAATTATAGGTGACAGAGAATGGGTACAGTTTAAATTTATTTTTGAACATTTGGACAGTGCCTGACGTGCACTTGACGACATGCAACTTCAACATGTTTTGTGTTGACCTGAGAAGGCTCGTGTGGACAAAGTGTGTGAGTAATATAAATTGGTTCCTGGTCTTCCAAGTGACTTGGAGACCAGAAGCAGTATTTTAAAATGACTAGAATGGGTACAATGCGTTGATAGTTTGGTCGGAATCTTGGGGGCAGCATCTGAACACACTGTAGTTGCTGATGAGTTCTCGGTGCTATACCGGAGTCTAACCTGCTCCAAATAGAGTATTAACTTTTCATGTTTGGACAACAGTGTCCTTATTATAGCAGTGTTTTAGATGCTAAACGCCTGATGCTGTAACTGATTCATATGACAGATAAAATTTAAGTCCAAGACACAACCCAGAATTCTGGCCTGGAATCTTTTGTCTCCAGAAAACAAAACTCTTGCTCACAGGAGTTCCTGTGTGCAATGATAAGCAGATAAGCACTACCTCAGCAAACTGTTGCAGAAACATAAGGAAAACAACCATTTTAATTTAGAAGACTACAGATTGGGGTTTGTGGGTTAAATGGATTTTTTTCCTCCTCTAAATAAATGCCACAAATATTGTTTCTCACCCTAAATTTCTTTGGGAAACATTAGTGGTAAGTGAACTTCAAAACCTCACTATTGGAGCTGAATCTCACTGCAAATGCACAAAAGCATTATGGTCCGATTTATAAAAAAAAATAAAGCAATCTCAAGGGATAATTCTGCTTTCTCATATGACATTTACAGAGAGCCTTGGCTGGAGGTTTAATGAACTGCTTAAAGCTGGAATTTTAGGAGAATAGCATCATCAAAATGTAGTCAGCATTAATACTTGGATGACTGTTAAATGTTTCAAAACCATCAGTCCTCATTTAGCTTAACTCTTGCATTTGATTTAAGGCCTTTTAGGATGATTTGAGTATAAATTACGAAACATGTTACAGTTGTGATCCATGGGCGATGTTGTTGAGGTGATAACTGGAGAACAAGAGCATACGTATCGTGCCAAAGAAGCATCTGAGTGTCAGATTTTTAAAAGCGAATTATCCTTTAAGTTGATTTTGGGTTTGATTTTGCATTAAAGTGACCTCAGTAATCCACATCAGAACAACAGTAGTTCATGCTACACTAATGTTGGTCTTTTCCATTATGAAATCCGCTTGGTTCCATTAAGCTGTTTACTCTCTCTCGCTCTCTCTTACTCATACACACACACACACACACACACACACACAAATATACATAAGCTGTACACAAATACACACACATTTGTACGTCTTTCAAAATCAACTTATTGAACAAGTCAGATTTCTAAATTCCAAAGTGGCTGAAATTATTAAAAAATACACACATCATACATAATCCATATGTGAGAATTTGCTTTGATGTGTCAAACCAGAGTGAGGGCTAATGGATCACACCCACAACAATGGAGTATGCTCACATGGCATGTCTGCCTAAGGGGAATCACTTTGCTTCAACTCCAGCTCCCTCACTGGGGAGTCTGTACTGATGCACCACAGGTGGATTAGTTATGATTTGTCACCTTGTATTTATTTATAATTAGTTTATGTCTTCATTCTGCTGCACGTTTTGGATTATCGTTTATCTCAGTGTGATAGGAAGAATTCTGTGGCAGAGTAGATGTTGTGTTCTGCATGACAGGCAAACCAAGGAAAGCTGCCAAACTAGTTTTGTGTAACAGAGTCCTTAGTGCTTAGCGAATTGAACCAAAAGTCTCTACTGAATATGAAGCATACTGTATTGTCCTGCCTTCTATCACAGGATTTATCCATTTGCAAATCTATTACCACAGTAAAAAGTCTCATTATAGAAGAGTGGCTTGGCACTGCAGATAGCACTATCCTTTTAGTTATACTTTTACTAGTACCTTTACCCCCTTTAGTTTAAAGGAGACCGGTCATACTGATGTGTGTTTGATGGCTATTCTGAAAATGGCTCAGGACTACAAGCAGAGAAATGTTAGGTTATACCATCCGGTGGTGGCAATATATAAAAAACTTACAACAAACAAAAAAATAAATCAACCAGAAACAAAACCTATTATTTTATAAGATAGGGTAATTTAAGTCAGGAATGATTGAAAGCTTGTGACACTTGGGGCTTATTAGCTTTAAGTTGGTTGACATCTAGGCAAAGCTTGCACACTGGTACAAATGAGCTACAGGAACCATAGCTTTGCAATCTCCTGGATACTCTATGTTCTCTTTTAGTAAAAGTTTTCATTGTTTTAATAGCAAACAACACGTACCAGCTACAGCTGGTTAGCTTAGCTTAGCTTAGGGCCTGGAAACTGGAGACCTGTTTCAAACAGCTAGCCTGGCTGTGTACAAAGGTAACAAAATCCACCAACCTTCACCTCTAAAGCTCTCTAATTAATCATTTATATCTTGTTTGTTTAATCTGTTCAAAAACTGAACTGTGAGGCCAGAAGCTGTCTCCAGTCTTTGTAGTAAAGTAAGCTAACTGATGTCTGTTGAGCCTTAAGCTATATTTAACAAGCAAATATAAAAACGTATCTTCTCATCTAACTTTCTGTCAGAAAGCAAATGAGCATAGCTTTCAAAATGATGAACTATTCCCTTAAAAAATAATGAGCTATTTGGAAGAGAATAGTTGGCATTCAGTTAACTTGGATGCCTGTTTGAGTTAAAAGTTAAATAACTTTACCCAAAAAGTTTATTATTCCCAATTTTAAAAATTTAGCTGAAACACAACAGTACTTCTTCCTGACAAGGGTATAAAAGCCTGAAGAAGAAAAAAAAAAGGGGGGGGGGGGGGGATTTTGTTATGCTAAAGGCTATTAAAAGGCTAAAGCAGAAAGCTAACTTACTGACATACTAC